TGGCCCGGGGAAATGATCTTGCAGTGGTGAATACCTACTTCCAGAAGCAGGAGGGACATTTGATGACCTACTAGAGATGGAGAGGCGAAGAGCTAGATATATTTTATGTTGGTGATGAGGAAGCACCTAAAACGAGTGAAGAACTGCAAAGTGATCCCTGGAGGGTTTTGTCTGACTGTATAACATTGACTACTTGTCACAGATTGCGTAGCGAAATGTGTTAGGAAGGGGGAGGTAAGAGAAAATAACTGTAGCAGGGTGAAGTGGTGGCGACGAAACAATGAGAAAGAAAACTTCTGCAGGCAAGATATGGATAACTTAATAAGCTTCAGTCCTAGGGGGAGTGAATGAAATATGAGAACAACTGGCGAGTGGAATAATTGAAAGCAGCAGGCAGTGCAAGTGGGAGTGAGCAAAGGCAGACAGATGCAACAGAAGGAAACGTGGTGGTGGAGTGATGAAGTGCAAAAGGCAACAAGAGAGAAACATTCCAAGTTTAAGAAGTGGCAGAACACGAGAGAGAAGGACCATCTGGATGGATACCTGTGAGTGAGAAGAGAGGCACAGCGAGTGGTAGCAGTGACAAAAACAACAGCATTTGCACAACTCTATCGGAAGCTTGACAGCAAAGAAGGTGAGAAGATGGTATACCGTTTGGCAAGAGCCAGAGAGCGAAAGCTCAGGGACAGCGACCATGTGAAACTCGTTAAGAACAGTGAAGGACGAACAATCTTATATGAGATCAAGGTTCGAGAGAGATGGAAAGAGTAATTGAGAAGTTGCTGAATGTGGAAACCCCAAGATGCGACATGGTTGAGGAACATCCAGGAATTGAAGTAGTTGCAGATACTATAACCAGATACTATAACCAGGTACTATAACTAGATACTATAACCAGATTCTATAACCAGATACTATATCCAGATACTATAACCAGATACTATATCCAGATACTATAACCAGATACTATAACCAGATACTATAACCAAATTCTATAACCAGATACTATAACCAGATACTATAACCAGATACTATAGCCAGATACTATAACCAAATTCTATAACCAGATACTATACCCAGATACTACAACCAGATACTATAACCAGACACTATAGCCAGATACTATAACCAAATACTATAACCAGATACTATAGCCAGATACTATAACCAGATACTATAACCAAATACTATAACCAGATACTATAACCAGATACTATAACCAGATATTTTAGCCAGATACTATAACCAGATACTATAACCAAATACTATAACCAGATACTATAACCAGATACTATAACCAGATATTTTAGCCAGATACTATAACCAGATACTATAACCAAATACTATAACCAGATACTATAACCAGATACTATAACCAGATACTATAACCAAATACTATAACCAAATACTATAACCAGATACTATAACCAGATACTATAGCCAGATACTATGACCATATACTATAGCCAGATACTATAACCAAATACTATAACCAGATACTATAACCAGATACTATAACCAGATACTATAACCAGATACTATGGCCAGATACTATAACCAGATACTATAGCCAGATACTATAACCAGATACTATAGCCAGATACTATGACCAGATACTATAGCCAGATACTATAACCAGATACTATAACCAGATACTATAGCCAGAGAAGAGGTAGTGGAGGCTCTGGGGAGCATGAAACATCAAAAGGCAGTAGGGCCGGATGAGATTCCAATTAATGTGTTTAAATTAATGGGAGAAAAGGGTGTTGAAATATTGATGGGGCTGTTTGGGAAAATCTGGATGGAGAAGACAATGCCGGATGCGTGAAGAGATTATACAGTGGTTCCCATTTTTAAAGGGAAAGGTGATGTACACGAGTGTGGGAACTACAGAGGAATAGCATTGTTGAGTCACGCCATGAAACTCTGGAAAGGATCATGGGAAAGAGACTGAGGAAGCTGGTGGATATTGGCGAGAGTCAGTTTTGGATTCAGACGGGGAAGGTCAACAATGGGTGCAATCTTTGCACTGAGAGTATTGATGGAGAAGTTCAGAGAGAAGAAACGGGACCTGCATATGGTGCTTATTGATCTAGATAAAGCATACGACAGGGTGCCTAGATATCTCATCTGGTGGCGTATGAGAAGAGGTATTCCTGAGGTATATGTTCGGCTGATCCAGGATATGTATGAAGGAGGGAAAATGCACGTGCGAAGCAGCTGTGGGGTGTCGGAGAGCTTTCAAGTCAAAGCAGGAGAGAAGCGAGGATCTGCCCCGAGCCCCTTCCTGTTCATCTTGGTGCTGGACACACGAACGGGAAGTATTCAGACGGAGTCCCCCTGGTGTATGCTGTTTGCAGACAACATTGTGCAATGGGGTGAAAGCAGTGGAAGATGATTTGAAGATCTGGGTGCAAAATATTGAAGGGAATGGGTTGAGGGTCAGTCGGATAAAGACTGAATATATGGTTGGAAATTTCAGTATAAATAATGCAGAAGGATAGCAAATTGGAAGTCACCAGTTAATGGAGAAGAATGAGTTTAAGTGTGTGGGTGCAACGATGTGTGTTGAATGGATCACTAGAAGGAGAGATAAACACAAGAACAAGGGCTGGAAGGCTTAAATGGCGAGAGATGACTGGTGTGGTGTGCGATAAGAGGGTCCCAGTTTGGTTGAAGGGAAAAGTGTACAAGACGGTGGTGAGGCCCGTGCTGTTGTATGGGGCCGAGTGCTGCTGGGGCACAAGGAAGAGGGAGGACCAAGCTATGGCAGACACAGAGATGAAGATGTTGCGGTGGATGTTAGGTTCAACAAGAAAGAGATCAAGAGGAAGGCAGAAGCAGAGGTGGTGGAGCGATGTGGTGCGATGTGACACGGTGGCCCGAGGAGCAGAGAGAGATGGCGCAGGACAGGGCAGTGTGGAGAAGGTTGGCAAGGACAGCGGACACCCCCACATGACTGGGACAAACGCGTGGAAGAAGAAAGCTGAATTCAGTTGCCAGGTGAGATGCCACTGAGATTGTAAAGGGTAGTCCAGATAGCTAGTGACCCCAATTAAATTCTCTAAAACTTAATATTTTTAAAGTATGGTTTATGTAAAACAAGAATGAATATGCAAAGGAAAAAAATCATCGTAGGGGTAAATTAATTGAGGGGTCACGATACATCTGGACCGCTCTGTACACTATCTCAATTGTATTGAACATCTGGATGCATTCACAAGACACCTGGACCACCAAGTACATTATATACAGTGAGGGAAAAAAGTATTTGATCCCCAGCTGATTTTGTACGTTTGCCCACTGACAAAGAAATGATCAGTCTATTATTTTAATGGTAGGTTTATTTGAACAGTGAGAGATAGAATAACAACAACAAAATCCAGAAAAACGCAAGTCAAAAATGTTATAAATTGATTTACATTTTAATGAGGGAAATAAGTATTTGACCCCTCTGCAAAACATGACTTAGTACTTGGTGGCAAAACCCTTGTTGGAAATCACAGAGGTCAGACGTTTCTTGTAGTTGGCCACCAGGTTTGCACACATCTCAGGAGGGATTTTGTCCCACTCCTCTTTTCAGATCTTCTCCAAGTCATTAAGGTTTCGAGGCTGACGTTTGGCAACTCGAACCTTCAGCTCCCTCCACAGATTTTCTATGGGATTGAGGTCTGGAAACTGGCTAGGCCACTCCAGGACCTTAATGTGCTTCTTCTTGAGCCACTCCTTTGTTGCCTTGGCCGTGTGTTTTGGGTCATTGTCATGCTGGAATACCCATCCACGACCCATTTTCAATGCCCTGGCTGAGGGAAGGAGGCTCTCACCCAAGATTTGACGGTACATGGCCCCGTCCATCGTCCCTTTGATGCGGTGAAGTTGTCCTGTCCCATTAGCAGAAAAACACCCCAAAGCATAATTTTTCCACCTCCATGTTTGACGGTGGGGATGGTGTTCTTGGGGTCATAGGCAGCATTCCTCCTCCTCCAAACACGGCGAGTTGAGTTGATGCCAAAGAGCTCCATTTTGGTCTCATCTGACCACAACACTTTCACCCAGTTGTCCTCTGAATCATTCAGATGTTCATTGGCAAACTTCAGACGGGCATGTATATGTGCTTTCTTGAGCAGGGGGACCTTGAGGGCGCTGCAGGATTTCAGTCCTTCACAGCGTGGTGTGTTACCAATTGTTTTCTTGGTGACTATGGTCCCAGCTGCCTTGGGATCATTGACAAGATCCTCCCGTGTAGTTCTGGGCTGATTCTTCACCGTTCTCATGACCATTGCAACTCCACGAGGTGAGATCTTGCATGGAGCCCCAGGCCGAGGGAGATTGACAGTTATTTTTGTTTCTTCCATTTGCGAATAATCGCACCAACTGTTGTCACCTTCTCTCCAAGCTGCTTGGCAATGGTCTTGTAGCCCATTCCAGCCTTGTGTAGGTCTACAATCTTGTCCCTGACATCCTTGGAGAGCTCTTTGGTCTTGGCCATGGTGGAGAGTTTGGAATCTGGTTGATTGATTGCTTATGTGGACAGGTGTCTTTTATACAGGTAACAAGCTGAGATTAGGAGCACTCCCTTTAAGAGTGTGCTCCTAATCTCAGCTCGTTACCTGTATAAAAGACACCTGGGAGCAAGAAATCTTTCCGATTGAGAGGGGGTCAAATACTTATTTCCCTCATTAAAATGCAAATCAATTTATAACATTTTTGACATGCGTTTTTCTGTTTTTTGTTGTTGTTATTCTGTCTCTCACCGTTCAAATAAACCTACCATTAAAATTATAGACTGATCATTTCTTTGTCAGTGGGCAAACGTACAAAATCAGCAGGGGATCAAATACTTTTTTCCCTCACTGTAAGTTGTAGTGAACGCCTGGATACATTCTCCCTGGCATGGTTACACATGCTCCTTCGGCAAAATGTTTAGAGCTCAGACCACACATGCTGCTTATAACAATACCGTGCAGATAGTGGAAACATAGTCCCATGCTAGTTTTATGCCTTTTATTCAAAAGCAATTACACCAGAAATAAATTTGCTTAAACAAGCCACAACCCCCCAGGATATATATAAATACCAGTATATACAGAATACAATAGATTTCATTTAAAATTGTAACTTAAGCAGAGGAATAACCTGAACATCACGTGGCTGAATACGGTGTAATCAAAGGCAACTATATACACAAACATGCAATTTGTTGACCCAAGTCTTTCACCGAATGTAATTTTTTTTAGCCCGATACCATGGGAAATTCTAAAAAACACAAATAAGACAACAACTGCAATTACCAGCCGACAGACTCAATTGCTCCATTATAAAGTGAAATACTACTGCACATATGCTTGGTTTATCATATTTAAAAGCTGCGCTGTGACAAAACGTGTTTGGTCATTACTACTATGATGGAATACGTTGCCTATAAATGACAATGTGTATCAAAAGACAAAATCTCCTGGTTCAGCCTTAAACTTAGATGGGAAAAGTTCTAGAATTGAGAGGCAATCATTCATTGAGCCTGGCCGAGTGGATGTGGCCATGAGTATGCCCCAGCCACCTTTGTCTTCCCACTGTTGCTGTTCAAACACTGTACCAGGTAAACATGTTCAAAGATAGTTCAACCCAAGAGAAATCCAGGTAACAGTTAATATTGAAGCACATACATCATGGCAGGACATTTGAAGCCAAGCTGGCGAGATCTATGCTACTATCTACGAGGTCACTGCTCCCAATACACACTTGGGTTGTTAAAATATATTTTTTTCTATACTATTAACTGCTAAAAAAAAGAACCAGTACAAAATTGGTTACCGGTTTACCGCACGCAAAGGAATGTCTGTAACCGAGAAATGTGAGGATGTTTCCATAATGGTTATCGTAATGGACTTGAAATCCAGTTGAAGCAATGGGGCAAGTTTCAATCGGTGCATTCATTATTAAAGCTTCACTGTAATCGGTTAACGGTGAGTGAATTTAGAATCAGTTACCATCTTTTTTGTATAAAACAAGGTTACTGGTTACCGTTTAATAACTCTACGTATTTGCGTGCAGATCCATACACACCTAACTTGCATTGGACAGTGGCACGGCCCTAGCGCTAGGGCCGTACAGTTCGAATCCAGTGACTGCCCTGGTTATTACTGCCAGTGTAATAAACTAAACTTTTTTTTTTATTTGTCCAGGTAAGGCTATCACAAATGATAGCTCAACGAAGTGGCTTATCACGTGGGAATTAATAGTCGTCAAATACTCCAAATGTATGTTGTTTCCAAATGTGGAGGGAATAACCAGAGGACCCGGACAAAAATGAAAGAGACATGCAAACTCCAAATATATACCATTCAGGATTGGGATCAATCCCACAAGCTCCTGCATACCAGGCAAGGTAGTTAACATCTTGCCCCATAACCACGATAACACTACGCGCCGTCTGCTTCACAGTGGATGTTAAAGATCCCCTGACGCCATTCGCAAAGAGGAGGCCACTGTGTGCCAGTGTCAGTGTCCAAACTTGCAAAATTCTTAATTGACACCGCAAATTACTCAATTGGGTTAGTGCACAGTAATCATCGCCCTCTATAGCCCCAGGTCACTATGTCAAATGACATTAATCCTGGTCTCTTGAGCTTTCATCTGGTTAAACAAAACTAAACTTGAATATTCAGGGTTATGCATGTATGTTGAACTTATTTCGCACTGTTTGTTGCAAAGGGTGATCCATTTGCAGACACCCAATTGATTCTTCATGACCATGTTATCAACAGGCGATTGAAAATTGTCAAGGTGATAGCTCCATATCTTAGAGGAGAGTGTTAAAGGATTGTATAAGTGCATTGAGATTGGTGGTAGGTGTTTCCAGGTTTTTTAAAAATCAAATTATGTTTTCACTATAATTTCTCCATATTATTGTAGGCGGCGGGGGGGGGGGTATCTTTAATTGCTTCACTCTCTACGTAAGGGTTCCAGTGGCATGTGGCATTTTGTGCAATTAAAGGCTCACGTAAATATAATAACACTCTGCTCAAGAGTGACGAGTGAGCGTGGCAGTTATGCGCTCGTAATGACTCTACACAGGGAAATCGAGAGGCTTAATGAGGCTTGTTTGATATTCTGAAAGCTCCTGGCGTTACGGCCCATGAATACCAATTACCATGTTAGGGAAACATGAACGCGGAGGGCTGGCTCATAGTGGGAGGAGAGATTAATGGAGTTCATTCATGTAACGCGTTGTGCGAGAGAGCTCATAAAGAAAATATAGAGCGGTGCTAACGGCTGCCTCGGTAACCAGGCGAGCGCCCCAATCCTCGGTGGTTTTAACATTACATCAAATGCAAAGGCGGTTATTGCCAATCCGTGCACAGTGTATTCGTTGCTCGGCGTAGCCGGTGGAATATATGGCTTATATGACACGCTTAGTTGCTGGGAAACTTATTACATAGGCAATGGCATAGGCACGTTTGAAGATGCTCTAATTATATTCTTGGTTCTTTCGGTAAAGTCACGGTGAAGAAAATGTTATTGTTTTATGTATATATTTTATTATTTTATTGTTTCCCTTCAACGTGACTTTACCGAAAGAACCAAGAATATGAATTACTGCAGTCACGAAAGCTTGAAATCAAAAGAGACTCTTATTGTTCGGTAGGTGCAGCCAATCACTGTTGCTTTGTCTGCCTTCCCCTGAATATCCGTGCTTTCAATGAAACATCTGGTGCAGCGTGCCAACACCTGCAGGACAAGAGTTCCCGTGCTGGCCATAATAGGTGACCGCTAAGCGTGCTTGTTTTGAGAGAGACGGGAAGGTCTCTTTACATGTGCATGTTTGTAAGCTTGTAGGTGTATCTGAATGCGAACACTTTTGCATACGGACACTTTTGTTTAAAGAAACTTGCTGTTATTCAGCTTCTTTGCCTTAGTCACTGATCAGGTCAAGGGTCAGGCTAGACTCCCATGTGGAATTGGCCTAATGCGGTCAGGCATATGTTTTACTAACGTCCAATGAACTTGTGTTATTTTATTTAAGTTTTTCTTCCGGTTCCGTTCCGATGACATACGGAATGAGAAAGGGTTAAGAGGCATGCACCACATTCTGTTAAACAGAGTGTTTGCAGTTCATTGAGATCCATGGACAAGTAACCGCTCTTTCACTATGCTTAAATGTCGGTGCTGCTTGCAACATTTTCCGGATCCAGATATGGGTACGGAACTTTCCCCACTGCCTCCAACCGTGCGTTTCTCTCTTTGATTTCGCACGACAGCTTGTGCAGATGAGCTTGAAAGTCGTTTTGGATGCCCGGAAACTCGTCTCCGATTGCGTTGAGCTGAAATACACAGCAGGGGAATGGCTGTGAGGTCATGCTCAAATGTCAAGAGAGCCGTCGGAAATTCTAAACAACCTTACTGTGTTTCATTCATTCGGCATTCTGTAGGGCGGGTGAACTGCGAGGTGCATAAGAATAAACATGTCTTGTCCATTTCACTTACGACTTTGATGCATGTGTGTCTCCTGGATGGAGATTTATTTTTGAGTGAGCACCAGGCATGTCACGAAGCATCGATTCATTGATTATAGGTTACTCGTGCTTTACGGCAAACATGCATCGAATCACGTGTTTAATAATTAATTATCTTCAGTTTAGGTAAACGTTTTCTGATGTTACACTTAGTGCAACAAAACTGCAAGATTTCAATTCATTCCGAATTTGCACAATTACAAATCTGCTGAGCTCGGTTCAACAATGTGGATTTTCGCCACCCCGCCCCCCCCCCCCGCCCCCGCAACATTGTTGTTAAAGCGCGACCCTGGAGGAGTGTGACTGGTGGAGCCTCACCTTGGTGAGGGGCACGAGCGATGGCATGGACAGGATGTGCGAGAAGAGGATCTGGAACATGGAGACGCCGATGTCGGGCAGCGCGCTCGCAATGAAGTCCCACGTGATGTCCTCGTCCCCCTCCGGCATGAACTTGGTCAGCTGCTCGGGGCTGTGAGCACACGCGGCAGGAGAGGCACGGGCAACGGGCACCCACACGGTCACAGAAAAAAACGACGTTGAAACAACGGCAAAGGTACAGCCCTGCAAATCTAGAGGGCATTCGGTCGACTCGTCTGTGTTGACCAGACTTGTTGGAAGAGGTGGGGTGTACCCTCGCTTCACCCCACAACATGACCTGGCGACCGACTGACTGCCCTGTACCCATTTATTCTGCTGGGTGGGCAGAAACATTTGCACCGTTGTTTTCATCTTCTGAGCCGGAACATTTGAATCAAGCCAATGCATGTTCAACGCGCTAACAATTTACACCACAGCAGACTCCCTTACAGTTGTTAGTGCATCGCAAACAACTAGGAGCATTAGAAAGTGTTACAGTTACATGATATCAAGTTGCATTAGGCATGGACTGTGAGGTGGCCAAGAGATGGCAGTACAGCCAGGGATTCTTAAATATGTCTGTGCGGAGCGCTTAAGAGTCACTCATATGCATGGGATTTATCCATACAATAGAGCCCTAACAGCTTTTTAGGCCCTTCTTGCTGAGATAAGTAAACATATAAAATTCACCCAACTTCCCAAAGCAGAAACCTGAAAAAGATTATTGTGAGACTCAGTGAGGTTTTCCAATCTAATCACATAATTATAAGATGCAACTAATCCACACTACACCGAGTTGCAATGGTGTGAGCTTAGACACCCATGCAATTGTGTTAAACCACCACAAAACATAACTGAGGAGCACTGGCACAATGGTTTGTACAATGTGCTCTGAACTCGGTGACCTAATTTCGATTCCTGGCCACGGTTAACATCAGTGGCGAGTAATATACGAATCGGTTCTGGGTGCCTCTGTACCAGTGTTTCTTAACCGTTACTGCAGCCTTGCACCCATGTGGTCTTAATCGTTAAAACAAATGTATAATGTTAATACATACGTGGGGTTTGATGAAACAAAGTAGTTTTACTTACGTGCCCGTGGTTAATTTGTGTTTCGAAGATTTACCTTCTAAAAAAGATCTGGCATGTCTCGGACCCCCAGAAAGGGCATCTCGCACCCCCAGGGGGTGCGTGCACCCCAGGTTAACACATTCCTGCGGAGGGAGCTGGTAGGAATGTTGGGTTGCTCGGTCAATGGCCAGGGTCAACGGTGGCACCACGTGGTGTATTCCGCAAATATGTCCGACTGTGAGGGCGGGCACAAGCCGGCGTGAGTAAGTTAAACGTTGAGTTTTATAAGGGCACCACGGGGTGACCAGCCCCTCCCCACCCAGCCCCACCCCTCCCACCCCCCACCCAGCCCCACCCTCCTCACCCAGCCCCTCCCCACCCTCCCCACCCAGCCCCTCCCCACCCTCCCTACCCAGCCCCACCCTCCCCACCCACCCCTCTCCACCCTCCCCTCCCCACCCTCCCCTCTCCACCCAGCCCCACCCCCCCCCCCGCCGTGGGCTGCTGGTGTAACCAGGAGGTTCCTACCAGTAAAAACCACTGCTCTATACCAACTCTCAATGACCACCGGAGACAATTTGTTTACATGTAGTTCTTTTCTCTTCCGGCATTGCGAGATATTCTCCTTCTCACGGAATGCCCTGGGTTTTCCTGTCTCAGCGGTTTGTAATCCCAAGTTTAACTCGACCCGGAGATTGTTACCGTTGAGAGAGGCCGACGCAGTGCTTTGGTATCGTGTTCGGGGCCCGGCTTACCGTGGTGGGACGTACGCGTAGTAATCCCACTGGGGAAAGTTAACGGCAGAGTGCTGAGCGCTGGCCGTGAAGATGATGTTAGTCAGGCATTCCTACGACAGAGAGGACAGGCACACACCACTTTGTCCAATGACATCATTTACTTCTTAAGAACCTGGCCAGTTTGTGATGTGGCTCGAGCACTTGATACGCAGCCGAGAGGTTCCAAGTTTAAAGCCTTGTGTGTTGGCGCAAATTGTGATGCGTGGCTTTGGAGGCTCGGGTTGGTAGATCATCTGTTTAGAACTGATTTTGTGTGTTTAGTGTGTTGTTTTTCCCTGCGGACCTCGGTATTAGCACAGTTGGCTACGTATGGTGCGTAAGACGTTCAACATACCTACATACATAGACTCACACAGAGACCCAAAGACTCACAGAGACCCAAAGACTCACACAGAGACGCAAAGACTCACACAGAGACCCAAAGACTCACACAGAGACCCAAAGACTCACACAGAGAGCCAAAGACTCACAAAGAGACCCAAAGACTCACATAGACCCAAAGACTCACACAGAGACCCAAAGATTCACAAAGAGACCCAAAGACTCACACAGAGACCCAAAGACTCACAAAGAGACCCAAAGACTCACAAAGAGACCCAAAGACTCACACAGAGACCCAAAAACTCACACAGAGACACAAAGACTCACAAAGAGACCCAAAAACTCACACAGAGACCCAAAGACTCACAAAGAGACCCAAAGACTCACAAAGAGACCCAAAGACTCACACAGAGACCCAAAGACTCACACAGAGACCCAAAGACTCACACAGAGACCCAAAGACTCACACAGAGACCCAAAGACTCACACAGAGACCCAAAAACTCACACAGAGACCCAAAGACTCATAAAGAGACCCAAAGACTCACACAGAGACCCAAAGACTCACAAAGAGACGCAAAGACTCACAAAGAGACCCAAAGACTCACACAGAAACCCAAAAACTCACACAGAGACCCAAAGACTCACACAGAGACCCAAAGACTCACACAGAGACCCATAGTGTGTTGTCCTTATCCTCACACCTCTGATTAGCAGAGTTGGCTACGTACGGTGCGAAAGAAGTTCAACGTACATGCATCTTATCTTTTTGTGAACTTCCAAACCTGTGCGGTGGCCACGAGATGGCATTAATAGCAAAGTGGGTTTTTCCAAATCGACTAACTGTGGCACTCATTTATACTGCCCGGAGAACAGTAGTGGTGGAATAAAATAAACTTGCCCCATTGTTTCAACTTCGCACCAGGAGACCCAACAGGGTCAGACCTCTGAATCGTCCATGGTCCAAGTCCATTGTTCCCACCATTACACCACAGCAGTATCCCGAGTATCACGATCATTGTTACGAATTATAGTTATGATGAACTCAGCCCATCATCTGTCTAGGATGGTTGAAATGAGTACCACTTTATGGAAAGTCAATAAGTGTTGACCTTGGAAAAGCCTTTCCCCCCTCCATGATGGGATTGTGGAATTTGCACTGCCAACACATAGAAGATGCCTACGCCTATGTCACGCAAGCCACATCTTAGTTTAGTTCGTATCATTCTGCAGCTGCGCCTCTGCAATGTGTGTAATGCGCGCCACCCGCAGTACCACCTGCACGAGAGATGGCCAACACTAGGCCCGCGGGACACGCAACAGTCCCGTCATTCAGTGTCAGTCAGCAAATGCATGCAATGCCTGTTATCCAATTATCAGTCGGATGGAGACGAACGATCAGTGGGTAAAGATGGAACGTGTCTGGACTGTGAGGTGAAGAGTTGCCATTTTATTGTACGTAGCATATTCAAATATGTACATTGGTAATGGTTGGTATTCCATAAAACATTATTTCAAGCCCTGCTTGTCCATCTGTTATCAAGTCTGTGAACCTACAATGCATACGTCAACTCATTTGCACAATAATGCTAACGTAAAAAAAACGCCACTTTTTTCAAATTTTCTTGCTGTGGTTTTCACACCTGATGATGATTGCTTGTGTTGCAGTTGAAACGTCGTGAGAATTTTATTGTTTTATATTGTTATTATTTTATTGTTTCCCTTCTACGTGACTTTACTGAACGAACCAAGAATATAATGCACGTTATGTTCATCTATAATTCATTTATTCTGCATTTAGTCTGTCCGCTAACCTATCGACTTCAATTGTGCCGTGTGACTCGGTGAACACATCGAACTGTCGGAGTTCTTACCATCAGAAGCTCTCTGTTGGTGATGGGAGACGGAAACCCAGTCACGTTGCCTCTCCTACGATCGGCCAGGGCGGCTGCAAAATCCTGCAGGCCTGTAACACATACGGACAACGTGCAAAGCACGGTGATGCACGCACTCATGACTGCTCTGCTGTGGGGTGATGGGGAATCGTCATCTAAACCCACAGCACATTGGTTGTTCCTGATGCAAAGTGCGGTGGCTGTCCCGTTTCTTTGTGTTGCGTTAACAAAATAATAATACTTTCCATTACCTTGCAGGATTTGATCTTTCTACAGATAAATATGAATGCGACGTCCAAACCTGCTGGGCTATGAGGTCGTTTGTACGTAGCATTTGAGGAAATTGTTTGATGGACTATCCGTATGGATTTTCGAGTATTATCCCGTCATAGGTGTAGGTATTTCCCAGACACTCTTTGTGTCCTCCCATATGTTAAAATAATTATAAACAAGTTGCCCATACAGCCCATGGCAGACGAGTCTTACAACCTAATGAGGTTATATCTGGATAAATAAAATATATATTTTTGACTGAGCACCCGACTTAATTTTTGGTCCCAAGTTTAAATCTCTGCTGTAGGGAAATTCACACAATCACACCGTGTGTATCATCTTTCTCAGTCTTATTGAGAGTCTTATTCAGAGGCTGGCATTTGCCAACAGCAATGTGGAATTTACATCACTGGCTTAATCAATGCTACTCGACACACGTGTTGGTCATGAAGACTCTTCGCTTATTTTATTTAGAAGGCGATGAAGTGGTTTCCCACCCAATTGAACCTCGGGTGGCACTCACGTCCCGTTGGATTCCAGAGTCAGTGGTGGGAATTCCACATTCATATGATAGCTGACTTATCAAAAAAGTGGCACTCAATTTCATTGACCCTGGATGAATAAAAGGTTAAGTCAACGACCCTTGATCAGGATTTTATCTCTCAATCTTTTCACAGCTAGCCATGTGTTCTACTCCCACACCAAGCTGCCACATTGTATAATGTAATACGGAAGTTGCACAGCAAAGACTCGCAGTCACAATAAAAAAAAATTCTGGAGGGTTCTACATTAGTCTGCTTAGCCAATACCTTTTTTTAGAAGAGTAGTGTTATTGTCACATGGACAGTAACCAAATTCAATCTTGATTTGAAGCTTTCGTGACTGCAGGAATCCATACTCTTTGGTTCTTTCGGTAAAGTCACGAAGGTAGAAAAAAATAATAATAGATCACGACGTTTCGATCGCAACACAAGCAATCGTCATCAGGTGGTACAACCACAGCAGGAACAAACTGCTGACCCCCTCCAGTGCTGCTGCGGTGGCCCACTTTACTCCAGGGACTCGGGTGCTGCTGCGGGGTCAACTTTCTGTCCCGCCTCCTTCCCCCCCCCCCCTTTCTCTCTCCCCCACTACTGCCGAGGCCTCTAAAACCTCGTGCCGCGGCAAATCTCTCGCCTACTTTTTTTCTTGCTGTGGTTGTCCCACCTGATGACGATTGCTTATGTTGGGATCGAAACGTCGTGACCTGTATAGTTTTCTACCTACGTGACTTTACCGAAAGAACCAAGGAGTATAGTAACCAAATTACCCGGAAATATATCCCACACTTATGACGGACTGGCACTCAAAGATAAAGAGTGGAACGAATCTATTGCCCTCGGTGCTGCGTATTGTGGGGCACCATGTCAAATGTTTCCATCCGCGTGCGATGAGACCAAAGCGTCCGGCACATGAAGCAAAGTGCTGAACAACGAGCCAAGCAACATCAATGCAACCCGAACAAACATCGGGAAGCTACTACACAGCCCGGCCACGAAAACCCAAGCTGTCGTCATCGTCCAGAAGCTGATGCGCCCTCCCCGCGGCTGGCACGCGCGCTCACCCTTGTCGTGCAGCACATCGGCATCCGTGTGGTAGTGGCGGCACACAACCTCCCGCACGTACGCGCCCAGCACGTGCCACAGCTTGAACCCGTCGTCGCGGTACAGGAAGTCCTCGAGTCCGTCGTCGCGGGCCTCGTCGAACCCGCGGTTGTGCAGCTCGCGCGGGAAGCTCCACTCCATGAAGTCGTAGCGCTGGAAGCTCGCGACGGCGAGCCGCAGGCCGCCCACCGTGCCCACTGCGAACGTGGAGTTGGTGAGCGGGCCCACGGCCGCGATGAGCGTGTGGCGCGCCACGTAGTTGATGCCGATCGTGTCCTGCGCGACGGCGGGGCGGCAGCGCGAGAGCGATCGATGGCGCCGGCTGGCCTCGGTGGTCTGTGTGCAAGTCGCTTACGGGCACGGCGGGGGTCTGCTTGATCTGGCACGGTGGCGCTGTGGTTGGAGTGCACGGCTCGCGGCCGATTTCGAATTTGTCAGCACTGTCCTAGCCGCCCCGTCACGCGGGAGAGTAATGACCGCCTCCTAACGGGCGAACAGATATTTTCCATTCTCAGAACTGAAATTTGAGCAAATTGAGTGCAGAACGGGTGTGTGGTCATCAACTCGCTATACTTGAAAACCCAGTTCAAGGACAGGTGGCTGCCTGGATTTGAACCCAGGATCCTGGCAGTGCCAGCTCAGTGCTCTGACCTCTGAGCTACCCAACCACCTCCGTCGGTACGTTATAGTGTTTAATTTATTTTGCATGCATGTTGATTTTCTTTCGCACCGCACGTCGCCAACCGTGCTAATCGGAGGTAACCAGGTAAGAATCCGAGGGCCCTGGATAGTCTCATTTGCAAAAGCGATCTGGGCCACCGAAATGACAAACGCGCGGCGTTCACCCTGCCTCTGAGCCACCGGGCGGATTATTCGGCGAACAGGCAAGGAAACAAATATGGGTCTCGGCCCGACATTGATTGCGCGCGTGAGTTGAGCGCTGCCCTCTCAGGTCCCCGTACCGTGCAGTGTGGGCGCAGGAGGCGGCCCAGGACGTGCTTGGGCCCCAGGTAGTTGTGCACGGCAATGGCGAAGGGCTCCATGAGCAGGTGGGTGAGCGCCAGGTGCGACACAAACTGGTGCATCTGGTTTTCGGCGCAGCCCACGTGGATCTTGGCGAAGAGGTAGCGGTACGGAGGGCTCCTCCGTGTGTACACCACGTTCTTGCCGGCTGTGGCACGGAACGAAAATGTGGAATTTGATGAGCGTGGTGGTGGTGCTGGGGTTTGTGGTTTAAACGCATCCTAATACCATTACCTCGCATGATTTATAATAATGTTGCTATGCGTAGTACTAGCAGTTACGCGCAAATAGGAATTGTTTTTACTTTATGTAGCTTTACAATTCATATATCGCATTTAAAAAAAAACAGACCTCAAACAGCCGAGCTGGTCGTTGCCAACAATGGAGTGTGACATTGTGCATGGGTGGTGTTGGTGGTGGTAAAGCAGGAGAGAGAAGGAATTGAATATATAGGGGGAGGGGGTGGGACACCACAACTACAGCAGTCCCAGGCCCTCGACGTGGGCGTGTGTCGCCAGCGGAGCTCACGGGGATTGCGAGTGAGCTGGATGCCGAGAGGCATGAGTCGGCCCGTTCCGTCCGGACACATCTCACGGTACAGCAGCACCACGGGCGCGTAGAACTTCTTCTCCTGGTGCAGCGGGATGTCTGTGGTGTCGCGCACGCGAGCGGGCACCCATCGACGATTAGCTCCCACTTCAAGGGCATTTCGCCGGGCACACTACGACGGTCACACATCTCTCTTCCCCACTGTGTGGGGTGAGCCGTGCCGAAGGCTCAGGAGGTGGCAGGGGTTGTCTTAAGGCTTCAAACTCTGCCTGGGACAACACCAAACACACAGGCCCTATTTTGCTGTCTGCCATTCGTCATACCGACTGTGTTACTTTTTGCGAGTGAAAATCGCCTTCGTGGTTTATTTTGACTCCCTTGAGCCCTCTGGCTAGAAACGTTCATTGAAATTGAAGCTTGTTTCAGAATTACACCCATTCTTAGTTTACTGTGGATAGGGAGTTTATTTACTTATTTAAATTCAAATGTCCAGGAACAAAGTATAAAGCAATATGTACTTATAGTATACTTGTAGAATGTTTATTTGAATATGTCTTTAACTAAAATACAATAAACGCAAATATTACGCTGGCACAGCTTACGAATATTGTTGGACAAATCACCCTTTGTAGCACCGGATCTGTTGCTGATGCCCTTTAGATTAAGTGCTAATTGTAGGATAATTTGACCTCAGGGTGACCCATGGCACGTTCACTTACCCGTTTGCGGATTTTTATATGTTTGGCCCAATTTTAGATTTTATTTATATATCCATATTTTTAAAATATTTAAATTGGTTATGTGTTAATACTTTTAATTGTTTCCACACAACATTTAACAATTTGAACATATTTGTTCATATTAATCTTAGCATTTTTAAGTTTCAACATGACGTTCCATATTATTTAAATGTAAATATTTTGAAATAAATATTCTCGAAAGTAAATTACGTGACAGAATTTTTGTCGGGATAGTCATACTAAAGAAGCGATGTCACTTACTGTGGCATTGCATTTTTAGATCAATTAAAGACAACATTAATTTTCAGATTATCCGATATGATCTGTCTAGGCCTAATTTTCTGATTCATCTGAAAACCAGCACCACATCCTCACAACTGATATAAATATGTATGAAGACAAAGACCCGTGTAGCCTTAACAGACTGGAGGAGCAAGTGCTGTTTTCGAGCACCTATGAAGGCCGGCACGGCACACAAGAAGGAGTGTGTGGCCAGCACCACGCCCGGCCGCCTTTGTCTCCCCAGTGGCGATGTTTACACACCACACCAGGTACTCATTTGAGGCTGAGTCGACATAGGGGACGCCCAAGACCAGATCAGATAATCGTCACTGGTGTTGGCCATGAGCAGGAATCGAACTCGGGTCGCCGGGTTCATAGTGCAGCACGCTAACCGCGACACTACCGCTCCCACCTAAATACGTATCTTATATATATACATACACACAAAATATAATTACATTAGCGGACTTCAACGCATGCAGCAGGTACCCTGGTAATTATTAAGCCCTATTTTGTTGACATCATATCTCAGTTCAGTACCAACCACACAATTCCACTGCTGCCCATACACTGTGACCATCACGCAGATGTCTATATCTATTGATGTGCTCCAATGGGTAACCTTTTTATTTTTATAATTTATCCCGCGTCTGGATGAACAATCCACTCACACAACAGGGCAAGCCTTTGTGTTTGAGAACGGTCTGTGGAAGTTGATATCACAGAGCTACCTCAGAGATCCGTACAAGATACACTCTGGGCCCTCACACAGTAGAGGGGCAACACTTTACCACCAGTTTAACACGGAGTAGGCTTTCGCGACCAATATTATCCATTATAGAGATTTTTTTGGGTTAGATCGCGTAAATATAAATGTGTCGTTAAACCCGCCACCACCGGACACAGCCAACTAAAAAGGTTTGTCACGTACACAGAACATGCCAATCCGTTACTAGTGTAGTGGTGTAAAAGGGGTCGCAATGGCGTTAGCGCCAACTGCTGTCACGAGAGTGGAAATGCACGGCAGGAGTCTCTCTCTGCCACCAGAATAGGGCTGACATGGAAGCGGGCCATAGGGGGCATAGTTCTGGTGAGGGTCGGAGAAGGAGCAAGTGAGGACGTGATACTCTCTGTGAACCCGAGAGGGCATGTGACCAGGGTAGCGAGGGGGTCCGCAAGGGGGCTCGGGGGGGGGACACGTGATGAGGGCCGAGAATCTTCTGGAGAGATCCAGAAGGGGGCGTGGCCGAGGGCGGGGCAAGGCCACGCTCAGCGGCATAAAAGCCGGGGTCCTGGGGGCGATCGGGGCTCTCTGGGGGAAGTCGGCGCGCCCTATGGTCCCCGCTCTTCGGCCTTCACTCCGGGTCGTCGGTCGCATACGAGACGGGATGGTCGGCAGTACGTTACTGACCGATCTTGTTGTGTAGTTGCCCTGTTGGGGTCTAGTGAACCGTTGTAACATTAGGGCCGTGTAACAAACGTGTTGCCTCCAAGTTCAAGTGTGTGCCTCCATGAAGAACACTACACTAGTAAAGCACACCAGTGTGTTGGAGAGTAAATCCAGATTTCCGGTTACGTGACAAACCTTACTAATTGGCTGTGTCGGGTGGTGGCGGGTTTAACGACACATCTGTATTTACGCGATCCAACCCAAAAAGGCTCTATTTTGGACTTTCCCACCAGCTCTCCACACATGAGAGTGAGGTTCGTGGTGTGACAGTCAACCCAATCATTCAAAAACACAATCCCAGCTAGAATGCTTACGCAACTCCGCAGATCACGCACACAGACGTGTGTGTGGCACGCACGCACGCCTGCGTGCCGCGCGTGCGTGAGCGGCTCTCACCCGCGAGTGCCTTGTAGTCGACGATGAACAGGCGCCTCTCGCTCATGAGCTCCTCCAGCGTGCGGTCCTGGCCTAGCAAGCAGCGCATGTCGGGCGGAACCTGGTCCACGCTGCTGCACACCTTGATGAGCATGGGGTTAGCTCCTGCAGCCGTGGACACACGCAACCAGATGCTCTCACATCCACACCGTGTAACCACGCACAAAGACAAAAATCCCCCGTACGGCCTTTACATACGTTTGGGGCAAGTGCTGTTAGCGAGCAGCTATGGAGGCCGGCATGACACACGAGGGGGTGGGTGGCCAGCACCGCGCCTGGCTGTCTTTGCCTCCATTATTGGCTATCTTTACACACCGTATCAGGTACTAACATGAGGCCGAGTTGACGTAGGGGATGCCCTGGACCAGTTCAGATATTCGTCACTGGTGTCGACGGCTGTGAGCAGGCATCGAACTCGGCTCGCTGGGTTTCGGAGTGCGTCCACCGGGCGCATGGGTGGCCTCGCTAGTGCCGGTTGCGCGCGGCCATCTAACCCTCGCGGCGGCGTGTGAGCGAGCGAGCGAGCGAGCGAGTGAGCGAGCCGGGCCGAGGCGAGGGCTCCCACCCTGTATGAAGCCGCGCGCGAACTCCTCGTCGTCCTTCCAGCGCTCGATCATGGAGCAGGGCGGCTTGAGGAAGCCGCTGAAGAAGGCCATCCACTTGTCCTCGCTCTCCCTGTAGCGCTGGCTCAAGCCCGCCTGCAGCGCGCGCACGCACGCACGCACGCCAGCACCCTCGGATGATTATTCAATGTAATTTCAACAGTGCTTGAAATTAGGTTATTCCATCAGCTCTGTCCACCAGTCCACCCGTCCGCCCGCCGGCCTGTCTGTAATGTGGTAGCGTCGCGATTATCATCAGCGGTAGAAATTATATTCTATGCGTGCGCTTGATGGCAGCAGCAATGTGATTTCAGGGGCTAAAAGCCAATGTCGCAGTTTGCTGCTGCTGCTAGCCACGACGAAGGGGGCTTCAGCTGAGAGATAGTTCGTGCAGTTTGCTATTCGCTCTTTCTCCGTATAATGATGCCGCATAATGACTACGAGCAATACAACCAGTCCGCAATGCGCGAGTCACGTGTGTTTGTTGAAACCAGAGTGAGTCTCGTTTTGGCAAGAGCATACCCTGTCAACCCATACGGTTATCTGTATTCTTGTAGAGGGAAATTGAGTTCAGGTCCACATGACATACAGTCGTTTCAATGCGGGCAACAACAACAAAAATGTCTATTTGTGTATCTCCCTTGTGATGGGACTTTGTAGGATGAACGTCGAGCTGTATAAGGCCACGGGGTGACCAATAAGGTCTCAATTGTTCTGTAATAAGGTAGGGCACTGACAAGGGGTTGACAGGGATGCGGGAGTGACCTGAGAGTGGACGAACTCCGTGGCACGCTCGATGACGCGGGCGATCTTGTTCGGGGAGAGCATCTCGGTGGAGATGGGCATCTCGGCGTAGCCCGGCAGAGCCTCCAGCGCCAGGTTGGGCTCCGACTGCATGCGCGGCATGATGGTCCACGTGTAGGGGTGGTCTGCGCACAGAGCCACACGTTCGCCGTCCTTCAGTCACCGACGGTCCATTAAGGCGGTGTTCTTTACGCATTTTCAGGGGAGGGGGGGTGGTTGGGGGGCACTTTCGCCGATAAGATATCATCAGTGCGAGGGCCGCCACACATTTGAAACCATTGGGGTTTGACAGCAGCACGATGCTGATGGGGGGGGGGGGGTGTTGTCACGTGTTGTGTACTGTTCGGGGGCCACACTAAAGGCCACCATGGGGCCGCCAGTGGCCCACGGGCCTTGGAAATTTTTTTGTCACAATTATAATTTCGCGATTGATATCATAAGGACATTTACATTTGGATCTTTAGATAGCAGTACATCACTTAGTATCAGAGGACGGCCCCAGAGGCGGACATTACAGAACTACTTCAGTCACTTCAAGAGGCTTATTTAAACTCGGGGGCACATATTTTGTATACCATGAAACATGCCTAATCATTAAGGATGTGTGCCTGCACTTTTTACTGTACATTGCCACATACATACCTAAATCAATGCATCATTTATGTTAACTTTGTTTTCACTGGCCTTGCTGCGCTCTTGTTGAAAAATGATATATCGGTTATATCATGGCTCCAGTTCAGGTAGGAAGTGAGCTGCACCCCAGGTTTTCAAATTGCGGGTGACATGAAGAAGGGATTCAATCATTGGAATACGGTAGGTAAGTGGAGGCAATCTTTAACAGCGCACCACGTGAGTGCTGTTCCCCTGCGTAGGCTGCATGCATTACCAGGGGTGGCTAAAAAGACGGTGGTGGAATTCACTATTCAAGCTGACTGACCTGGAGCCACGTAAAAACAAGCCGCCGGTTACAAGATAAGTGTCTGACCGGGGTCCTCGATGAAGGACCTCACGAGCTGCAGAAGGTCGTCACGTATGGTGTCCAGCACGCTGGGATTGGCCTGCGCCACAGCTCCTGTCTGGACGCACACAACCAGACGCAAAATGGCACACACAGCACACCAGTACCTGCTAGACGGGTACGTGACTGCATGATCCGACCGTGTCCGTCCAGTGCTCGCATTGGCTTTCGGTTGCCGAACGAATACATTTTAAAGGTCGCGCTCATTTGCGCACAAAGTGTTTGCCACGAATGAACCACAGTAACTTGCTGATCTCGTCAATGAGCGTAAACCACCATCACGTGAACTGCGGTCATGCTCACAGCAGCGGCTTTTGGCTGGCCATCGGTCACTGCATCGCGCGATTTCGGATGCGCTTCTGGCGACGTTTGGAGCGCTCTTCCTTCCGATATTAAGAAGCCACTGGGGCTCTGCACTTTTACATCGTCCAGATTGAAAACTAATTTATTTATAACTGATTATTGTGTTTAGTTTGTTGTCCTTCCCCCGCACATCTGATTAGCACGGTTAGCTACGTACGGTGTGAAAGAAGTCCAACGTACAAAGAACGCCCTGCACCATCAGAGTGCGGGATGCGCATTGCGCGCGGCCTACGGAATTTTGGCCATCATTTCAGGGCATGACATCCATTGCTGGTGATTTTCTATGAACTCGGAAATCAGAGTTGATGTTCATTGTTACTTCGGGTTCTTTCCTCCGTATGGTTGTACTCGCAAGGGACTTGTATGCAAACGACATTGAATTCAAGCAGGCCTATGATTTGGATGATTAAATTGGAAAAAAAACTGTCATAACGACCTCTAAATAAACAAAGAATAGTATACAGAACATCATGTATAGCAGCACATTTCAATTGTGGTGTTAACTTATTACCTAGCGCCTGTTATACTTTGAAAATTACAGTCTTTGTTTTATCAGTTTTTTTGTTTTTTAACGGGCAGAGGGGACGAAATGTACCCATAGCCATGACGAGGTCATATTAACCTAATCAAGTCCACAAATTTATAGAAATTGGTCTTTCAATGGTGCCGTGGCAATGTTTTTCCTAAGTGTGGATCTACTGCACTTAAATATCGCTCGTCTTTTAGCAATATGGGTGCGCAATAGGTGAATTAGGCAGCTATTTTCGATGTTTAATTGGTCTGCCTTATCAAGATTTCCACTTTACAGGCGTGTCACTTGATTGAATGATTGAGGCCAATTATTATTACGTTGCTGACCACTTCATCTCCAATTGCAGCCATACACATCACCGTCATCATCATCATTATAATGTATCCCGCGACTCCTACGCGGTGCGGCTGACGTCACACACTGCTCCGTTCACGTAAAGTTTGTCACGTAAATAGAACATGGCAATTCGTTACTAGTACAGCACACCGGTGTGCTGGAAAGTAAATCCACATAATTTACAATCTCAGTACGATGTTTTGCCAGTAATTACAACTAGCTTCATCAGGCGACGGCCAGATTGGTGAAAACGTCGTACCCAGATTGTAAATGTTGTGGATTTACTCTCCAACACACCGGTGCGCTGTACTAGTAACGAATTGGCACGTTCTGTTTACGTGACAAACCTTGTTACTAATTGGCTGTGTCGGGTGGTGGTGGGTTTAACGACACATTTATATTTACACGATCTAACCCAAAAATCCTGTATCATGGATAATGTTGGTCGCGAAAGCCTTCGTGTTAAACAGGGGAAATATGCTGTGTGCATAAATGTTGGGCATACAGAGAGTGACCATTTTGCATAAAGGAAAAAAAAAGTCCAAAGTACAGTCAAACAGTATTTGATTGCTTGCTTGGGTACGTGCCGTACTTGTTAATAATCATGTTATCATCGCTGCAACTGCGTAAGTGTTGGCAGTAGTTTTGTGGCTGCAAAACTTTCTGATGTGTTTTCTGGCTCAACTTTGGTGTCTGACGTTTTGCTGCACGTCCAGAATTCAGTTGCTAAAAGCACCAGAGAGCTGTAATTCAATGTTTGACTAAAATAACTTCGGTGTAGTGTGTGGTTATTTTCTCTTTTACACTGATATTTGTGACATTCTTTGTTCCGAATTATCTCCTGAACACCTACGCCTTGTTTCAAGATTCACCCTGCTTATTATATATATGAAAAAAAAGTTGTAATCCTTTAATGGGCGTCATGCGCTCACGATCACGAGCCCAGTCGTTGCGCCGAGGAGAGTTGCGCCTCAAGTTCGCTTTCTTTGGTAACATTCGTGAAAACGGCCTTGGGGCTGTACGCTTGCCCATTGGGATATTGAACAAATCTGTACAAAGCCAGGTTGGAGTGGGGGGATAAAACTGTGCTTGGAGAAAGAAAGAAAAACATTCTCACAGGATTTGAAAATTGTTCTTTGAAAATTCCCCTGGCAGGGTACGGTTGAGAAAACTGTTGGGAGAACCGCGTGAACTAATTGTGTTTATAATTGGAGGAGTGTTACTTTTCTTACATCTGCCATGGAGCGTTGATAAATCCCAGAGTGGAATAAAGCTCGTTCACTGGCCGAGATCCAAGCTGCGTCCAGCTCCTATGCAGTTGATTTGGTAAAACTGTGCTTAAAGTTCATCCAAACGAAAGTGAATCATGAAACCCAGCTCCGAATACACAGCAATGGTGTCTGACTCACAAATGCCATGCATGAATTACACTAATTACAGTCATTGGGCTTTACTTAATTTGATGTTTATTCATTTGTAGCATTGTTAAGCAGAGGCCTCTGACCAAACACCTGGAATGCACCCGACGTCAGAAGCTAAGCAGCATTGAGCCTGGATAGTACTTGGATGAGCAACAACCACAAATAACACGGGTGTAGAAGGCATTGTGGACAGTAGAGGGCACCCACCTTCACCAACCGGCATTGACCAGTGTGGTGAAGTATGGTCAAATGACCCTTACTTCCTGCACGACATGGGAAAGGCCCTCATCCCCTGCACGACATGGGGAAGGCCCTCATCCCATAATGGATTTACAAACAGGCTGTCAGCCATCGTTAAGTGTGCGTGCTGCGTGATTTAGTAGTTTTTTTTTAATGGATTGCATGGCGTGCCTGTACTGGCACGACAGCAGATCACCGAGTCACTCAACCAAAGCATGCCCATTACTCAGACAAATTGGCCCTTCTCATACTCGGCTTGCTACTGTACCTCTGAAGTGCAAAAAAAAACCTGGGACATATCAATGGAATTAAGAACAACTCAAAATCCCACAAGGAGAAGATAACTTAATGAACATGCATCATCTCAAGTGGTGTTTTTTTATTATTATTATTGCCCAACTGACAAAAAATAATCTGTTAACTTTAATGCCCTGAGAATATTTATAAATTTCCCAGGGCAGCAGCTCACTTAAAAGGAGGGTGATTCTGGAAAAAGACGGGACAGGTGGGAACCCTATCCTATAATCATTATGATGGCTCTCGTAAAAAAAAATATGATCATTATGATGGCTCTCGTAAAAAAATAATTGTTGGGTGCGAGTGGCTTGCTTGTTATTTATTTTTTTACAAATTAAGGAATTCATTTTGTCATTGACCGTGGAATTTCACCGGGACTAATGTCTTTGAGTCTTTTACTTGCTGCTCATGCCAGCATGCCTGCCCCGAATACTCATTTATTCAAACTTGTACATTACGTCATGCACGAGTGTTTAACAGACGTGTTACAATTCCTCATGAATGGCTCGATACCAGACCACGCACGTCAAGTAAACTTAGAATTTAAATCTGGCCAGAGCCTCTGAGGGGAAATTTGCCTCGAATGAATACGAGGTTTGGTGTGGGCCTCTTCAACGCAGCGGAGACAAAGGCAGCCAAGTGCCTCATGTGGCCCGCTGGCCTTAATAGATGCTCACTCAGAGTATCTGGTGTTTACATAAACGCTGCTGCCTGCCTGCGTGCCTGCGTGCGTGCCTGCTGCATATTCACCTGCATCTCCACGTCCAGGCAGCCGTGGCCCGGCAGGTTGAGTTGCATGTGTTTCGTGTCCGTGCTCACATCGGTAAGCAGCACCCTGACCGCTGACAGCTGCCGGTTGTATCCCTTCTCCTCGCTCCTACGGGCGCGATCGAGTCACAGGTGAACGATAAAATCCGTGTGCTTGTTGTTTTGTTACCTACTGCATCATAAACTATACAACGATTTTTTAAATTTATTTTTCCAGGTAAGGCCCTCTCTTTCAGAAGAGACCTGCCCACAAATGATAGTGCAACGAAGTGGCTCCTCATTACGTGGAAATTAATAGCAGCAGCCAAAACTCTAAACGCATGTTGCTAATTGTGGAGGGAAAAAACCAGGGGGGACCTGGAAAAAAATCTGCGTGACCACGGGGAGAACATACAAACTCCAAATATACAGCAGGCGTCAAGTAGGGCTGAACAATTAATCGATTTCAAATCGAAATGTGAAACAATGCGATTAGCAAATCGCAAAGGCTGCGATTATTTGCGATTTGAAAAGTCCTATTACTTTCTTATTGGTATTATTTTATTTTTTATTATTATAACTTTATTGATTTAATATTGATTTGAATCTTGACTTGAAGCTTTCGTGACTGCAGGAATCCATACTCTTTGGTTCTTTCGGTAAAGTCACGTAGCTATAACATAAACATTGTTCTATTTCAATTACATTTTTTAAATAAATACATGTTGATAAATGCATATGAATTGTTGGAAGCTATTCATATATTTTAAGTTCTCATCCTATTAGCATATATAGAGCAGTTCATATGTTGATGGTATCACGTGGTAATGCTCCATCACATGTTTTAAATCTACTACACAATGAATATTGAACTGAAGCTTGACTTAAAAAATGTAATCGTATATCAAATCGCAATATCTGTCCGAAAAATCGCAATTATATATTTTCCCCAACTCGTTCAGACCTAGCGTCAGAGTCGGGATTGAATCCACGCACCTCCCGTGTACAAGGGAAGGAAGTTAACATCTTGCCACTGTGTCTGGGCATCTGGACACGGAGCTAAGGAAGAAATGGTTAATATTGGAACCCCCTTCCGAGAGAAAGGGAACAAGGTCACTCGTCCATACACACTGGAAAGACGTCTTCAACACAGAGATGATTGCAATGACACACATCCTTGTTATTACACGTGGTGGTCCTTTTGTTAGAAGCAGAATGGTGGGAGAAAAATGGGATACATTAAAAGTAATTATGGTGAAATAAAATACCTTCAATTAAATAATCACTGCATCACTGTAGTTTGATAATTTAAACAATATTGTGAATCAGCCATCCATGAATGGGTGTCTCTATCACACAATCAGAATCAACCAGTAGCTGCATTCAATGTTTTTTTTTTCATTCCCACTCTTCAGCTCAGGTCACGGAATTACTGTATTACTGTTGGGGGGTGTAAAGCTCTCCCCTTTACCAACTCCTGCTTCTCAAGTTGACAACAAAACAAACGTTTCAATACACAACTAGAAGTGTGACCCAAGTTGTTATTGTTTTCAGTCGTAGTCTGTGAGTTGCGTTGTCCTGTTGCTGTATTGTTCAAGCGGGGGGGGGGGGGGGGGGGGGATGCCCACCACAGGGCAAGCTGCACGTGGGTACTCTCTTTTGTCAGGTCCAAGGAAAAGCTCTGGTTCCAGATGGGGTTGCTGTGCGGAGATGTCGTGGACACGTGCTCTATCCCATCATTCATCTGCAGCACCACAAACACGCCGGGCGGTCCTGCAGCGAAATGCACACACGGGAAAACTAAATCACAAAGAAGGAGTAAAAGCATCCCAAAAAAATCAACAACCCAGAAATCTTGTAAAGTTTCAATTGAGAAAATCGTTGATGGTTAACGGTAGTAACACATGCTGTCCATAATTTCCTGTTGCTCTGAGGTTGCCTAAGTGCTATCGGAATCGCGTCACGAGACAAAGTTTCCATATCATACTTTCACAAAGCGGTGCATCGCCTTATGTTAGAATGGTCTGCAGAAGTGACAATCATGGAACTATTCCCTTCAAGTCACAGCGGTCTACGCTTTCATACACAGCCCGCATGGAGAAATGTCCATAGCATGGCAGGCAAACTCATTGAGTCCTTATTGTCAACAACTGAACGCAATATACATTTTGTTGTAAATTCATTTGCGACCAGCCTGAGAGACTATCAAATCGCTGAACTTCAAAACCCAGTTTTTATAACGGGCGGCTAAAACCTAGATTTCAACCTGGGATCCCGACACTGCCAGCTCAGCGTTCTGAGCTCTGAGCCACCCAGCCCACTTATTAAACCAGTGGTTTAATTTCCTCCAATGCTCTCATGGGAAACAACAAATCTGAGCTAGGGTTATCACTCGTCCTGGTGTTCCCCCTTTTTTGTGACGGCTCTGCCCTCTTCCGTTACCGTGAGATATTCTCCCCACGACAAATATATCAGGAGGTGGCGAACCCTACGACGAGCCCGACCCGATTCTCCCATTTGAGCGGGTGAGAATTATTTTTTTTTACTTCCACCACCGTGCTGCAAGCGCCCTGGAGCGGGCACAGCGGCGTCCACGCCGGCTCACCGCGGTGCTGGTAGTGCTGGGCGCAGGGGAACTGGACGCCGGCTCTCAGCAGCCGAACGCGCAGCACGCCCACGGCCGGCCGGAAGAATCGGTCGAGGCCCGAGATGGCAGCGCGGTAGGCGCCGGACTGGCGCCGGGTCACGTCCTGCGCCACGCCGGCGCTCGGGCAGTCGAAGGTGTTGTTGAACTCCACGCGCGTGTGGCCCAGCCCGGCTGTGAGCGGCACAGCGCGATTATTCTCTTGTATTTAGAACGTAGGGTTTATTTTGCTTTGCGCGGCAGGAGATGAGAGGAATTCATTTATCCGTGTGAATTTACTCTGCCGATAGAGTGCGCAGACCACGAGGCTATAACCCCCACTTGCACGAAATCTTAAACACAAGGCTTCAGTCCAAGGGTGGCCTACTGGGTAAGGTCAAATGTTTAGCGTATCTTCTTTCTAGCTTGTGCCACACACTCGTGCGGGAACCTTTCACGCGAAGGTTTGCCCACAATGGCTCGTTATTCCAATCTATGAGTAAATAACGTTTTATTTTATATAAATTTCGCAATGATCAAATATGATCGTCAGATGCAAACCGTCTGAAGATGCCCGTAGTTGTGTGTTGCGAAAGGTTGAAAGAAAAAAAAATGCTCAACACGTGGACAAACTATGGACGGGAGCCTTTGGTGTTTTGGTAAGTGGGTAGCCCCGTGGTCTATGCACCCTCTCTCTGAGAGTTTTTTTTACACGGAGTTGAATTTTGAATTACCCCCCCCCCCCCCCGCTTTCCCCTGCTAATCATTGTGGGGCATTATCGCCACATTAATGCCTCCATTTCAATGGACAGCCATCTCGAATCAATTCTCCACTGCCCTCAATTTGCCCTGATATTCCCCAGAACTCGAGTTGATGGTTCAACGTAAGTATAGGCGGTGGGGGGGGGACATAATATTGAGTAAGTAGACGACTCGAATTTGTAAAGAAAGTGTCACTTCTCTGATATTTGTTTTCAGTTGTTTGATATACCACGTGAGATGGGCAGGTCTCTCCTAGAAATATAGAATTGTTTGGTTCAGCTTCAGTCTGTCGCATAATTCAGGCTAGCCCGACGAGCAAAATTGTCCTGAAGGATTCGGCTCCAGGCAGCTAACTCAACTTGTCTAAAAACGATGTAAATATGGTCTCGGGTAGTGTATGGGTGGGGGACTGAAGCGCGTGTTAGAATTCTTTGCTCGATGGAAATGGATATGGGTGAATATTTAAGTTGATGGTTTTAACGAAAACTCAGTAGTTGTTTCAGATAATAGTTAAAAAAATATATATAAAAGTTTGATAGACTCTCACCTTTGTTATATAAATGGCAACTGTGCATTATTGCTCTATATCTTCATACAGTACCTTACAAACGTCTTTCCGTATCTCTTGCAAAAGGAATAGTCTCCACCGTAACGAACCAACGCAGGGATGTTAGACGCGGTCAATAAATTGTCTCTCTGCGTGTCGTACCGACGCGCGAGAAACTTTCGCGAGTTACAAGAGCCGACGTGATGTTCGTGGCAATGTTTATGATAACCGGGCTCAATGTAAATCCATTGTCCACTAAAGTGTTATTTTGAAGCTCTTTGTCAATGAAAGCCTCCCCCACAACTGGGGTGGGCGTGGGGATCGTTTGGCCATGCTTCACCGTGCTGGGCATCGAGGGTTTGTGAATGTCTGATCGGAGGTGCAGGTTTCAGTCACTCTGGACGCACACTTACATGCATTCATGCGAATGGAGGTTGAGACGTTGTGGATTGAAGCTGTCTGAGGCTCCATGGACAACAGCTTGTAGACCTGTCGAGTTGTGCATGAGACAGACGCTCGGTCATCAACGTCATCCATGTAACAAGGCCAACGATAGGTTTTGACCAGTGGTCGAAAAACACACGCAGGTACATCATCAAATATATCGGCATTTCTCAAAAAACAAACACGTATACAAGCACTGTGCACAACGCATTTACCATTTTTGATGCCCTATTCGCAAATATAAAGGAGGGGTCGTCACAGCGACAAGCTCCGCTACTCCTGACACAATCTCCTGGCTCAACCACCTCAATGTAAGACGATAGCTGTTGCTCTACATCAAGAAGAAGAAGATTTGTGAGTGAATTAATAAATATGTTTATCTCTGCTAAACCCGAGCTATTAATGCTTTGATATTTGTTTTGACTTTGTGCCGTTCGTTCGCCTGTTGGCGTTGTTATCTGGTCGAACACTGGCGACGAGATAAGGCCGTCTGTGGTGTAGGCCAATCAGTTTCAAGTACAATGCATACATTGTCAATGCACGTTTGTTTGCTTCAATGTTTTACCACAAGCATGTGTGGTTAATGCAGACATGATGATGACTTGATGATGACTTGAAATAGGTGCCTATTGGGAGTTTGAACATCATTAACGCCTCCTGTATTATTGGCATAAAGGGGTAAAGCCTCTTCTTATTTTATGTCACGATTTTAATATTTGGCAAATCTCAATAAAAGGCTGGTGGCAGTGTTGGGCGCCACTGTACCTGAATGTGCTGTGCGTCGCTACGCAGCACCAACTCCTCGCGGATGCGGCTCTTGTCGGAGGAGATGACAAAGGAGCGCACAGCTCCCACCTCGTCTCTCCCGGGGTGCTCCAGCTCCACCGAGTCGTAGATCTTCCACCAACTCATGATTTCCTATTCCACCCGGGCGGGTAAACGAGGATGCGTGAAGCCACGCGGAGGGATGGAGAGAGCCGATAGGGTTGAAGGTGAGCGGGGTATTGTTATGTTTCTATTATCAGAGTTGCTGAGCACAGCCCCAAGGGACTAAACTGCCAAGCGGCCAGCAACAAACAGCACTGCACTAGATAGAGTCAATGCGTATCCACGGTGGCGAGATATTAAGTACCTCGCCTGGTATACAGGAGGTCGTGGGTTGGATCCCGACCCTGACGCCTGCTGTATATTTAGAGTTTGCGTGTCTCTCTCCACGTGGTCGCGTGGATTTTTTTTCCGGGTCCTCTGGATTTTCCCCTCCACAGTTAGAATCAACATTACGCATTTTAGAGTTTGACTGCTATACATTCCACATGATAAGCCATTTCGTTGAGTGATTATTTTTGGCCAGGTTGCTTCTGAAAAATAGCTATACAACTCAGTGGGTCTAACCTGGAAAAAAAAGCTAAGTTTGAACTAACCAAGGTTAATAGGAATGTAGGAAAAACATGATGGGAGGATATTTCCAAAGTCAATCAGTGCGAGGAAAGCAGCAGAGTGAAATATAGATATGAGCTGCAAGCATGGTGGTTGAACACTGTGTGGATGAGATGCCCCAAGTGTAGGAAAAGGTCGAGTAATTATCATGTTGCATATTTATCTTGCAAAGCCTCAACGAATAAAAAAAAATCGTTCTCAGCAGGGTTCAGCATTTGCATTGATTAATTGCATTTATTCCGAGCAGGCAAGAGCCCATTGAGTTCACGCGTCTATTTTCAATCGATTTAAAACACAAACATTCAAAATGCAGAGATGAAACAAGTGGCAGGATGACACGATGTGAAGGACTTTTTGCTTTTGCTGACTTGGAGATTGTGTACGTATTTAATCAACAGTGGACTTGTAGATGTTTTGATATTACCAAAATGCGATAGATTTCCTGAAATCTCGGCAGGATTGAGCACGGTTTGGTGCTCGGATGAGTGACTGTCGATGCTTGTGAGATGTAAGTTTTGAGCTGTGAGGTGTGGGTTCTCTCTGGGCACTCCAGTTCCTCCCACATGAAAACCAACACTCATTATAGAATTGGCCAAACATCCCAATGCCGTACCTTCCTCTAAATGAGTCTTGAGACTCACTCAAGCTTTCCTGGGTACAGAATTGGAATTATTATCATTATTTTTAGATTGAGCAAAGAGGGTGTAACCAAGGTACTAAGGCTGATTAGAGACATTTTTTCACTGAGCAAAATTAGTTTTAATATCAACTCCCGCACCTCCAATTTTAGCACAGTTGGCTACATAAGGTGCGAAAGAAGTTCAACATACATGTAGAGATGTAAATAGCGTCTCTACGGCGTACAAGCCGACGACAACCACAACTGGTGAATGAGTGCCCACGTATCTCTCGATGGGGCCAACGGAGACGTGGCGGAGAAGCAGGCCCTACAGAGCAGGGTCCCGTCGCAGAGAGAGAGAGAGGGAACGTGCCGACACGAGTAGTGAAGGTGGCCCGGAAACGGGGGCCCGGAGGACACGTGGCGCTGGCTCCGGTTCCGTCGCGAGAGACCGAGGAAGGGGCGTGGCCGGTGGCGGAGCGAGGCCACGCTCGAGAGGATAAGAGGGACGGAGGCGGAGCGATCGGGGTTGTCTGGCGGGAAGAGCTTACCGTGTGGCGTTGCTTCGGGGGTCTTGGAGCGTCGGTCGTCGGGGGTTCAGTTTATGTAAAGTGAGGGAAAAAAGTATTTGATCCCTGCTGATTTTGTACGTTTGCCCACTGACAAAGAAATGATCAGCCTATAATTTTAATGGTAGGTTTATTTGAACAGTGAGAGACAGAATAACAACAACAAAATCCAGGAAAACGCATGTCAAAAATGTTATAAATTGATTTGCATTTTAATGAGGGAAATAAGTATTTGACCCCCTCTCAATCAGAAAGATTTCTGGCTCCCAGGTGTCTTTTATATAGGTAACGAGCTGAGATTAGGAGCAAACTCTTAAAGGGAGTGCTCCTAATCTCAGCTTGTTACCTGTATAAAAGACACCTGTCCACAGAAGCAATCAATTAATCAGATTCCAAACTCTCCACCATGGCCAAGACCAAAGAGCTCTCCAAGGATGTCAGGGACAAGATTGTAGACGTACACAAGGCTGGAATGGGCTACAAGACCATTGCCAAGCAGCTTGGTGAGAAGGTGACAACAGTTGGTGCGATTATTCGCAAATGGAAGAAACACAAAAGAACTGTCAATCTCCCTCGGCCTGGGGCTCCATGCAAGATCTCACTTCGTGGAGTTGCAATGATCATGAGAACGGTGAGGAATCAGCCCAGAACTACAAGGGAAGATCTTGTCAATGATTTCAAGGCAGCTGGGACCATAGTCACCAAGAAAGCAATTGGTAACACACTACGCCGTGAAGGACTGAAATCCTGCAGCGCCCGCAAGGTCCCCCTGCTCAAGAAAGCACATACATGCCCGTCTGAAGTTTTCCAATGAACATCTGAATGATTTAGAGGACAACTGGGTGAAAGTGTTGTGGTCAGATGAGACCAAAATGGAGCTCTTTGGCATCAACTCAACTCGCCGTGTTTGGAGGAGGAGGAATGCTGCATATGACCCCAAGAACACCATCACCACCGTCAAACATGGAGGTGGAAACATTATGCTTTGGGGGTGTTTTTCTGCTAAGGGGACAGTACAGCTTCACCGCATCAAAAGGGACGATGGACGGGGTCATGTACCGTCAAATCTCGGGTGAGAACCTCCCCTCAGCCAGGGCATTGAAAATGGGTCGTGGATAGGTATTCCAGCATGACAATGACCCAAAACACACGGCCAAGGCAACAAAGGAGTGGCTCAAGAAGAAGCACTTTAATGTCCTGGAGTGGCCTAGCCAGTCTCCAGACCTTAATCCCATAGACAATCTGTGGAGGGAGCTGAAGGTTCGAGTTGCTAAACGCCAGCCTCGAAACCTTAATGACTTGGAGAAGATCTGCAAAGAGGAGTGGGATAAAATCCCTCCTGAGATGTGTGCAAACCTGGTGGCCAACTACAAGAACCGACTGACCTCTGTGATTGCCAACAAGGGTTTTGCCACCAAGTACTAAGTCATGTTGTGCAAAGGGGACACGTACTTATTTCCCTCATTAAAATGCAAAGCAATGTATAACATTTTTGACATGCGTTTTTCTGGATTTTTTTATGTTATTCTGTCTCTCACTGTTCAAATAAATCTACCATTAAAATTATAGACTGTTCATTTTTTTTGTCAGTGGGCAAACGTACAAAATCAGCAGGGGATCAAATACTTTTTTCCCCTCACTGTAGAGACGCCTTTTAGGGGTCTAGAATAACCCTGAGTATTGTTAACCCGTAGCCCTGTTCAGTTGTTAATAAATGGTGGTGCCTCCAGACTTCTGTGTGTGCCTCGTGAGACAAACACTGCACATACAACAGTGCTCACAAGGGTTCTTTGACAACCCGTGTAGACAAAAGTACATATGAGTTTAACACGTAGGCTTTCGCGACCAATATCATCCATAATACAGGTTGTTTAGGTTAGATCGCGTAAATATATAAATGTGTTAGTTAAACCCGCCACCACCCGCCACAGCCAATATATAAGGTTTGTCACGTAAACAGAATATGCCAATTCGTTACCAATACAGCACACTGGTGTGTTGAAGAACTAAGCCACAACATTTGCAATGTTATGGGTGAACAATGTGGGCCTATTGCAGGCTTTTGTGGTGCGCTGTTGAGTTGTGACCAACATATTCTCATTTACCTTGCCAAAGGGACGGAACACCGTCCATACTTTGTCGATGGGAGCCCGCACGAGACCCGACACGTCTGTCCGATACATGGTCGATGCGGTATCCTGAAAACGTGCGAAAACAAAACTCAACGAGCCCTTCCGGAGACATTAACGTCAGAGCATTGCCAGGCTTAATTCTGGCTCAGAGATGGAATTTCTGCTGTACCTGGTGGGATAAGTTCGCTGAATTTTCTGTTTTGAAATCTTGCATGGTTGAAAAGGGGATTGTGCAAATAGTCTAAATATGCTGTGAAGCCAATGTGGCGATGAGAAACTGTATATGCTATTGACATATATGCCTAATTTACATTGTTATCATTATTATTTAGCTTGTTTTGCCAGGAAAGCCTCAATGAGTCTCAATTATCTTTTTCAGAAGGGTCCTGCCAAGGTTATTGCTATGTTTCTTTGTACTCTTTGGTTCTTTCGGTAAAGTCACGTAGGTAGAAAAATAATAGATCACGATGTTTCGATCGCAACACAAGCAGATTTTTCTTGCTGCGGTTGTCCCACCTGATGACGATTGCTTGTGTTGCGATCGAAACGTCGTGATCTGTTATTATTTTTTTACCTACGTGACTTTACCGAAAGAACCAAAGAGTATGGATTCCTGCAGTTACGAAAGCTTCAAATGAAGAATGTTGTTGCTTTGTGTTATCCCAATTGAGTAATTGCTCAGTAACTTTTGGGCATTGGAATATTTGGCCAATACAATTTACATTGTATGTTTTTGTTGAGCTATTTAAGGAAAGCAAAGCACTTGGAAGAAACCCATGCAGAACAAGAGAGAACACAAACTCCACGCAGAATGGCACCTCAATCGGGAATCGAACTCGGGGACTTGTTGCTGTGAGGCACACATGTTACCACCGTGCCACCCTGCTGCCCAAATGTTGGCACATGTTGGTGAAATTCCTTTTTATAGCCACACGTCAAGATGTGAATCTGATCCACAGTGTAATAAAAGAACCAAAATTATTCATAAATAAAAATTAAAAGCATAACAAAAGATAAGGATGTAATATGAAGTACACATTGAAGCCCCATATTTATGAATCTATTATAAAATTCTGCATACTGTGTGCCTTCATATAAGGGGTCGCTATATTAAAACAGACTGAATCGTTTACATCAATATAATTTCCTTGAATATTTTTCTCAAATCTTTTCTTCATTTCACGATTATATAATGATTCGCCAAAGTGCATAAAGTTTTGACTGGGCAGCTTACAATCTATCTCGTTATTATTTCAGACGGTGAATCTACCTTTTGTTAATTCAGCTGAAAGGCGTAGATACATTCCAGAACTTTTAGCCCGTAATAACGTAAAACTTCCCGTGAACCTGAAAGAACTATTGCCAATGCAGTTACCGTACTAGGATTATTTGCAATGAGGTGAACAGCAATGCTTTTGATGCCAGCATGCTGTACATCACATTGACGGGAATTATTAGTACATCAGCAGCATATTTTTCAATACGAAACATTTTCATGTCAGAATGTTGTTTTGGCTATGAAACAAATATTGATGTGTTTGTTTTCATAGCTATATACAAAACAAACATCTATAAACAAACATCAATTATACTTTGTATGTTATATTATCTTTCATTGCTATCAAATGCCGACCTGGTATACAGTCACACTACATGCATGGCAGGTAATTCCTCTTATGCCCCTAGGTGGTACAAAAAAACGTTTTTTTTTTACAAAATGTAATCATCAGTTATTGAATCACAAATAGACAGTAGCTGGCACGTTATTACCGGAGGCAAACTTGCTGAGAGTTGTTCTCTTACCTGTGCGTGAGCTGGGGCTGTGCCTTGCTAGTTACAGACTAATTTAATTTGCAGGCGAACCGTTGGCAAGAGTCGCCTTTAAAGGGCCCGTTTAGCCCAGCAGCTCCATAAACCACACCCACAGCTGACACACCTGGGTGGGAGCGTGTCTATCTGTCCACACCACGGAAGCCACGTCCTGTTGGGTGGTGGTGGTGGGGGGGGTGACACGCGATTATTATTATTATTATTTAAACAGATCTCCCGGCACGGCAATTGACGAACTGGGGCGTGTTTCGTTGAAACACTCCTGCCTCGGTCCAACCAGCGCTACGAACAGGTGCCCCACGGTTAGTCGATTGGCATGGTCAGCCTGGTCTTCGGTAAGGTTCTGAACACACACACACCTCTAAGGTGTCTCGACTGCGTGGAAGAGTATGCCAAAAACTCTACGGAAGAGTTCCTTATTGTGAGGCTCTTCCGCCAGCCAGCAATGACGTAGTGCTGCCCCTTTACCCAGTGCCGGATTAAGCTAGTGCGGGGCCTGTAGCATTTGTTATAAAGGGGCCCTAAATAACAAACAAAAAAACACGTAAATATTAAAACACAAATGTTTTACTTGCATAGCAAAGTAATTGTATTTGTTCATTTTCTATGCAGCCAGATGATACGACAAGTCGCTAACCTTAAACACCCAGTCGTTCATAAAAGTTGAAGGCAGTATAGTACTATAGTTATAGACCAAGTGCAGAATCACTGAACCGGAATTGATAGCTTGAAAGCATATGTAGCTACTTTTGCTCCGAGGAGAATCCGGCACTGCCTTCACCTGTTTAAACGGTGCAGCTATCATCATTTATATAAAGTGTTGAAGTGTAACCGCAACAAATAAATGTTGTACCCAAAAGTAGCGCGAGCGCATCATGGGAACGAAAGGGGGAAGTGGTTTGTCGTTTTAAAGTAAGGTGCGATTGATATCGCTTTGTAGATGGGATATATTTAGTGTGGACTTGAAAAGGGATGAGAGTCGGAAGCATGGATGGCTGGGGGATGGAGTTCTACAGGGTGGTGCAGATGTCTTGTTACCCCCAATTTATTTCTCTAAAAGGTATTTTTTTTAAGGTAAGATGTTACTTAAAACATAAATAAATATGTAAAGGAAAGAAAAAGTTAGGGGTCAATTCTTTTGGAGGGTTACGGCTCACAAGAGAGCTAGACCACCCTGTAGACTGTGGAGGAGAAACCTCTCGGCAGACAAGGCGCAACCTCTCCCCCGGTTGAGCAGAGGTGGTGGATGTTGGCGCCAGGCCGTGGGTGCTGAAGTGAAAGAGCACGTGACGGGGATTCGAGTAAGACGCGTGGCTCGTCAGAGGTTTACATTACATGAGCCGCTTTGTGGATGGCGGTTCAATTGTTCGCTCTTTGCCAACACACGTTTGCTGCTGCTAAATTAGATGCAAACAAAGACCCCGCGACATAGTTGTCATTTCAGTTTGAGTTTATTTATTTTGGTATAGCCCTGTGAGCCATTCGGCTCTTGAATCGGGTGCAACCACAACAAACAAAATAACAAAAACACGAACAAGAAAAACATCTTAAAGTGACTATGTGATTGTGCAAACAGAAAATCCATGAAAAAACACAGCAAAATATTCCTGAAAAAAGCACCGTACACCAACGCTGTGTGCAAAAAAATCCCAGTGGGATGCAAGTCAAACAACAACAACCACAAAAACTTAGATTAAGGCCATCAGTCTAACTCCATACTACAACAAAACAAACATGTCCAAACCAAAAAGCGCTTTCGAAATCACCAAAAAATAAAGCCATAATTGCAACGTAACAGTGATCACAGGGACTGTGACCGAATTTTTACAATAAACTACATAAATAACATGTAACACCACATCCTAGAGCCAAAGCTGGCTGCATGAGTTACTCCACAACAACAGAAGCATCAGTCGGAGTATCAAATTTTTAATAGATTCAGATAATAGTTTGCAGCGTCATCCGGAGCGAAACATGATTTTATTTTACGCCAATGAATAGCAGTGGCAGCTAGGGGTGTACAACTCCTCTAGAGCAGTTTCGAGAGAAGATCTCATTGGTAGCGATTCAAGTTGCAGTTGATTGGCAATAGCATTCCAGACCCTGGGGGCATCAATAGCAAAGGCCCTTCCTCCAGTTTTTGTACGGCAATAGGGAATGTGAAGCTGGCAAATGAGCGAAGACCTGAGGTCAAATTTGTTCTTTGAAACAGAGAAGAGATCCAGCAGGTAGCCTGCGGATTTTTTTGTAAGTACATCGTGAATAAATAGGATCTGGTGCACAAGCCGTCGAACATTAAGAGATGTTAAGTTTGACCCAATGTAGAGATCACAGTGGTGAGTCCTATATGGGCAGTTCAATCATGAATGGTCTGATATGTGCCTGATTTAGAGGCCGCACGTCGAGAATACTAATAATTACAAATGTGTAATTGAATGCTGCACCGGACTTTGCAATGCATGGATCGCCGGCTCGATTTGATTTTCCAGCAGGACAGTTGAAACAACGGGCTATATCCCTACACTCTCATCCAGCGGCATACGCACGTTGCGTGTGGTGGCGTAAAATGTGGGGACTCCTACTTCTTCCAAGACCTCCGGCCGGCGTGGAGAAGACCCAAACATCCACTCGAGTGGCCCAAAAGCCAGGACACACCTAGGGTTATTATATTTACTGAATTTCAGCAAATCACTTCGGGGGATTTAGTTTATCTTAACAAATGTTAAAACTGACTTCCGTTAACATGTGCTTGCAATAATTCTCTATTTAAATTAATCTAGGACTTATATATGCTTTAGATTACAGTTGTAATCTTTGAACTTACATCAATTATGTTTTGTCCCAATGAATTCAGGGTTCTTGGTCGAGTTTTGTAAACGACAAATTTACGGAGACCCCACGGGATTAATAAAGACAGATATTTATAATGGTAATCGACAACATATTTTACTTAAATAATACAAACAATTACAATGTTTGAATGGCAGTGTTTTCAATAAATGAAATTACCATGTGTCCTGACTTTTGGCCCACCCTATATAGTCGGGGTTTCTTGTGATAGGAAACAATTGCAGGGCTTCACGTTTACAATTTGCTAACCTACAATATTCCAACCATAACTAGTTGGTAAAACCTTAATTATTTCATCATCGTACAGTTTGCTTTCATTACTGCAGTGCCCATCCGTGTCTCCTCTTACAAACGTTGGCTTTCGGTGAGCGCCTGTCTGCTGTAAAAATGATTTTTTACATATACATTTCAAGCAGTCGCAGGTTGAAGTAGTTCTTGTCATGCGGGCCAGCTGCACCTTATAATTAAATTATCCATCCCAGCCAGATTCATTCAAACATTATTGAACAGTGGATAAGATTTGGTGTCAGATTGGCCTTGGCTATTTTCAGGATGGAATCACGCTTTCGCAATCGGAATGCGTAGATTTGCAATGTTTATTCCTTGCCCATCTTCTGTGACAGATCGTCCGTGGGTGTTGTAAGAA